CAACTTAATGCTCATCAAAATTACATCGATGCTCATTTAGGAGAAATCACGAACTTCATCAAATTTACAAAAATGCCATCGGCTGTACGGTGCCAGCCGTACAACCGGCTGTATGGTATACGCTTCCCACATTGTAGTAATGAATAGTCATATTTATGTAAATATATTTTATTTCAGTAATATTTCAAAGCTTATAGGCTAATTTTTTCATAGATTTATTTTAATAATTATAAATTAATTCTATCACAAAATTAGTAGCGGAGTGTGTTTGGTAATATTAAAAATTGACTGAATCGATCCATGAGTTTATAACTAGAGCCAGCATCCCCATCCATGAGTTTATCTAACAACATTATTAATTGTGAATAAGGGTTGGTACCCTTGATTTATGAACTTGTTGAAAAACTGTACCTTACTTTTCACGTTACTTGTTTAGCCTTTATACGCCGTTAACTATTTTTCTTCCGTCAATTATTTTGATTCGCCTTCGAAAAGGACCATAAAACCGTACTTAGGGCAGAGCAACAGTTTTCACTTTTGAATTGAGTAAATGGTCAGTTTGGTCCTTGAAGTTGCAAAAAAGGCGTCAAATAAGTCCTTATATAGAAGATTCTGTCCGGACGTGCCATTTGAGGTGGCTCCCGCTGGAATTTTGTCATAAATTTTTTTGATCATCTTATTCATTAAGTCTAGTTTACTCATACTAAATTTCAGCTAAAAATTCAATCGGGAAGACATTCAAATGAATTCTGGAAGATAACAGCGCTTTTAACGGCACAGTTATCTTCAAGAGTTCATTTGAATGTCTTCCCCATTGAATTTTTATCTGAAATTTGGTATGAGTAAACTAGACTTAATGAATAAGATGCTCAAAAAATTTCATTAAAAAATTCCACCGGGAGCCACCTCAAATGGCACGTCTGGACAGAAACTTCTATATAAGGACTTATTTGACCCCCTTTTTGCAACTTCGAGGATCTGACCCTTATCCCCTTTTGAATTGTCGTGCTAACGTGTACCTTCCGATGGTGGCTGCCTGGAAAAAACTCATCCTTTGGAGAAAAAACTCAATTAAGTTCCGATTAACTTCAATTTTTCCAAAGAGATTCCTTTGGAAAAAACTCATCCTTCTGATTCCTTTGTCCCGATTAACTTCAATAACGTAGATTGCTTGTATGGTAGATAAGTTGTGCCACCAATGGGCATCACAATAGTACTTTAGATTATAGCAAGAAAAATTATGATGGATACTTTTGGGTTAGTTTTTCGATATTTGTTATTTTGATTGGAATTACTGCATGATCAGTGAATAGAGTTAAGATTATACGGAGTATGAAACTTCTCCCTTTTGTAGTTCCGACCCAGTTAACTTTGTTATACTTTTCAATTGCTTTAGTTTTTTTTTTGTTTTTAGATTAACTTTGCATCAGATTATAATGCAACGTGTGCTAGTAGTTACTTCCATTTTTAAGAGTTGTGATTTCATTCATGATTTGTGTTGATTCCAATTGGTCATGTATTGCTTGCTGTGATTCTACGAACTAGATTGTGGAACACTTTAAATAAAAAAAAATTAAGCTTTCAAATTCACCCAGACTTTTATCGAATAAGGGGTGTTTGGATCTGATTCTCAAAACTGATTCTGCTCCTTCAGGGAGCAGAAGTAGAAGCTGGAGTGTTTGGATGAAATTCCAGAAGCACTTCTGGTGCTCTAATTTACTCTCAGAATCAGTTTTTTTTAGAAGTTGAGGGGTACCAACTTCTGAAAACCGATTCTGATTCTGCTTCTGCTTTAAAAAAGAAGCAGAAGCAGAATCAGTTCCAAACACCCCTAAGTTAAAGTGATCAAGGACACCACAATCACAAATTCACTACAACTTTCTCTACAACTTTTTCATATACTAAAAAAAGTAGATAATTTTAGAACCACATAATTTTAAAATATGTAATTTCACAATATACAAAAGATATTAAAAATTCATACACTATTTCAAACTCTTACGTAGTATTATAATATGAACCCTTATACAGGTAAAATAATTATATACAAAAAAAACTTTAATATTGGGCAAAACTGTCGTGCCTTGCGCGACAAAACGCTAGTTTATAGATATAATCGGATGATGTGTAAGATTATTTTAAAGATTATCATTGTTAGTGAAAGATTATTTAGTGAGATTATTGAAAAAGAAACCAAGCATTCCAGCCCATCTGGTTGTGAGGTTACCGTGCCTAGTGGGAGCCGAGGTCCCGAGTTGAAAACCCGCTAGACACATAAGAGTTCGAAACTCAATGAAGTGAGTTTCAAACCTGTTTACTCCAGGCCCCCCAGACCCCTTGGAGTAAAAAGAAAGAGATTATTGAAAAAGAAAATACGGTATCAAGATTCAAATCTCGTATTATTTTAGATTGTAGTTAAATTACATTTAATGCACGTCCAGAAAAAACTGATTATTTGAGTATTATTGTTGATGAAGAGTTTTAATTGAGATTTTTTAAAATTTATTGAATAAATGTGATATGACAATAATGTGTAATAGAAATGGAGATGCTAAAATTGACAATATGTTCGTTTATTTAGAGAACATAAATGGAGATGCTCTATTGGAGATAATATATTCTACATGAAAAATGAATTGGATAATTACTGTTTATAAAGTACTTCCTCATTTAGCGATTTCCCCGTTTCTGAAGATCCGGAAAGTGTTCCTCCAATAATTAATTCCGAAGTTACACAAATAGATAGCATGCAATGTGAATACTCATGGAGTCACAGGTTGAACTACCATTGGGAACAGGAGGCATAATCTCTCTACATAATTGCACTACTTTGTGGGAGATCATTTTCCCGCTCTCTCTACATAATTGCACTACTTTGTGGGAGATCATTTTCCCGCTCTCACGAACATGACATTTCAGCCGCACGATCAAAATTAGATCTATCGCTTCTCATTCTTTCCCTCTCTCACCTTCTCCCTCAGGAGCCCGGAGCCTCACCGCAAAGGCGCAGAGCCGCAGACCATCATATTCTTTCTATTTCTCTTGAAAGGAGAGAGCCCAGCTGGCAACGTCATCCCTATTCTCTATCGTCTTCATCATCTTCGCTCAGCCACGATTGTTCTTCTTCTTTGCTCATACGAATCCATACGAGTTGAAAAGATCTGAAGCGGTTCTTCTCATTTGCTCATAGAATTCCATTGGAGCTGAAAAGCTCGGAAATAAATTCTATTTTTAATTCAGGTATGATTCCATATTAGATTCAAGAAAATCTTGGTACAATTTCAGATTAGATTTCAGGCTTCAGGCTTTTCTTCTGAACTATTCGTTTTATTTTCGCTCAGTTCTCAAGGATGTTATTTTTTTCCTTCTGAACCGTTCTTTTTCTTTTTGCTTAACACTCAAGAATGGTAATTATACTCTTTCTATTTCAGTTCTAAAATCTATTATTTGATTCGCTTTTTAGTCTTCCTTCTTAAGAGACTCACTTTTCTTTGAATGTACATCTCATTCTTAATCTTCATTTATGTATTTCAAATGAATTATATTTAATTTGTGATAACATCACCTTCCACACTGAATTGAATTGATTATCATCATATTTCTTATTTTTTGGGTTTAACTCATAGCAGCATTTTTGGGTGTCAATTCCACACCGAATTGAATTGTCAACATATTTAATTTTGTAATGTACGTGTAGGCATCGGATCAGGTTTAGTTATTTTGGCTTGCTTACACATGTGAGTGTAGAAACTCAAGCTGCATTTGGATATATATTTTGTTTATCATGAATTTCAATTGCAAGAACTTGGCTGAATTAGATATATTTTGCTCCGTAAGAGTCATGAATGGTCAAGAATAGGCATACATCAATTGATTCTCAATTTCGATAGTGGGCTTGGAGAAAATTATTATGCTCCTTGCTCATGTTTAGGTCAAGGAAAAAAATACGGAGTACAAACCAGCTTTAGATTCCCATTTAGATACCTGGAGATCATTTTAGCATCCTCACAGTATCAACAACTCAGTTCTTTCTCATCTATATTCTATATATAAAATAAAAACAGAAAAGTGAGAGGGACATTTGGGCGGGAATACTGTAGCAATTTGGGCGGCCAATTAGTGTAAAAACTATTGTGTTTAATACTCCTTAACTAAATGAATTAAATGGGCCGCTTATCTGAAACAAATTATTGTACTACGTAGTACGTAGTATGTGGACAATTAATTTTTGTTCTTAAATGACACATTTATTGACATTGGAAACTCGGTGCATTTTAGGAGACTCGCTGAACACAATGATTCACGCACTGGCTGGTAAACTTACGAGGCATTGAATGGGCATGCATGTTGAGATATGTCCAATACGGAGTATATAATTAATGGTTTGGCTGTTCAATTACCCAAGATGTGGTTCTCTAGAATATGGAGTAATTATTTGCAAGTGGGAAGGCTATTTACTTTCCACATGTTGCCTTGCCTATATAAGTGTCATGACCAATATAGATTAATAACACACGACATTTGTATTACAGTGATTCATTTTCAATTTGAAGATAATTAGGTTGAGATTGGCAAAACCTTTCAATCAAGTTCCAAATAAGATCAACTAATAAGGCGTTATAATTAAGGTACGTAATGTTTTAGAAAAACTTTAAATGCTAACCGTAAATAGACAAGGTGTTTATTTTAAAATTTATGTTTTTTTTATAAAATCTGTTAGTGACTTACTGCTCCAGAATATGATTTTTATTCAAATCTGATGATATGCAAGTAAAGAAGTCGTTAACAAAGTGCCTACCTGAAATAGAGACTTGAACCATTAATACATTATTTTTTTATTTTTTTGTAGAAGATGAAGTATATGTCTCAGCTAGCTCCCATATACATATTTTAAATGCATGTATAAATTGGCCGGGGTATTATTTGGATAGATATATTACCTTATGTAAATTAGTACCCGTATTACGTAGTACGTAGTACATATTAACACAAAAATATAATTCAACATGTTCATAATTAATTTAATAACCGTGTAGTATATATAGAGAGATTATTATGGAGTATATAAGATGGTTAGAATTCGAAGTTGGATTGTTATACACATCTATATACATATAAAGGGAAAACTATCAAATAAGCCCCCGACCTTTTCAAAAAAATCAATTAAGCCCTCCAACTAAAAGTCAGCTCAATCAGGCCCTCAAACTCATTAAAAATTTGCAAAATCTCTTTTTAGCAGGTATTCCCGGTAAAATTGAGTATGGGGTGTGACGTGTCAGTTTTTTCTTTTTCTTTCCTCTTCCCTAGGCTTTCTTTCCTTCTCCCCTTCTTCCCCTTATTCCCTGCGCTAGCACCTGCAACTTCTCCCCTCTTTCTTTATTTCTTTCCTTCTTTCCTTCCCCACTCTCTGCTTCCCCCTACTAGTTCTCTGCTCGCACTTCCACGACTCACTTCGTCCTCCTCCCTGCCCCTCTTTTCTGCAGCCGGATCTGGAATCAATCTGGCCGGAGCTCTCACGGAGCACCGACTCCGACTCCGACTTGTATTCCCTTAACGAAGCTTTAAAGGAGAACGTTTTCCGACTCCCAAGGCATGGACTCGCGGAAAGGGGATGACCAGACCGGTGCGTAATGGGAACTTGAGCATCTCCGGCGTCCTAAGTTTCGCTCGGACACTGCGTTGCCGACGACGACCTACTGGTGGCAGAAGAAAGAAGAAAGGGTGGGAAGAAAGGGTGGGTGGAAGATTAGAAGAAGATGGAGGAAGGGATTGAAGGCTGAAATTTTTTAGAAGCCTGGAACGAGTTGAACGAGAAAGAAGATGAAGGGAAAGGAAAAAAGGAAAGAAAAATAAAGGAAAAAAGAAATAAAAATGGAAAAATTGAAAAAACGAGATGTGTAGCCACTTGTACATAATAACCGGGTAACTTATTAGTTACCGGTTAAAAAGAGGTTTTGCCATATTTTATTGGGTTTGAGGGTTTAATTGAGTGAAGTTTTAGTAAAGGGGTCTAATTGATTTTTTTGAAAAGTTAGGGGGCTTATTTGATAGTTTTCCCACATATAAAAGTTTAGTAGGAGGTCTCGAATTCGAAACCCGCTAGACACATAGGGGTTTGAAATTTAATAGAGTGAATCTGAGCTATGATTACTCCAGGCGCCCCAACCCCCCTCCCCCAGCCTCCTGGAGTAAAAAAAACACATATGTAGTATAAAAGTTTAATTTGAAAAATGGAAAAAATGGTGACATGGGCAGATTATGTACATAAAAGATATGTATACGCATAGACATTAATGCTGATTTTTGAGTAACAATTTCTAATAATTAACAATCGGAGCAGCAAAAAAAGTCAATTTGACAAGAGAGCCGGTTTGTGTAAAGATTGCAGCCTCGCAGGTAGACAATGTAAGCCAAAATGACCAATTGAAAGATAACAAAAGGAAGAAACCGAAGATGGCAAGAGTGTAGATGGATTTGCTGACAAGGAAAAGAGAAGAGTTTCATCTTAGAAAAATTTATTGTCCATTTTGACGAATTTACATTTATAGTCTTGGTCCTAAACATTTTAGAATGTATATCCGAGTCATAAAATTAAATACTTTGTATGTAGTAGCACATGATATGCTTTAGGCTAATGCTTGGGCTTCTCTAGACTTAATATGTTTAGCCTCTAAATACAATTGCAATAAAGTGCAGTGAATACGTGCCTTTTCACAATTTTTACGGCAACATTTATTGTAGTTCATCGGTGTGGTGGAGTGTGCTACCGCTATAAATGACAAAGATCATTCGCAACACAAGTGTAGAGTCGTAGACGGTGCTCGACTCTTTAAATTAATCTGAAATTTTATAGTACTTTACATATAATTGTCTCCGTGGTTGGAAGCGTAAATTATATCTTCTATGATAGACATAACTTCATTTTTTGATATGCATGAATAGGTCGTGCAATCCAATGTTGTTTGATGATGCATAGTTTTTGCAGTCCTAACATGGTATTCAAAGTCATATTCTTAATTAGAGGTTTTTGTTACCAAAATGCATTTTCATGGGTATCTTTCTTTTTCAATTCTAAAATTTAAGATAGCTTTAAGCATCCTATTCTATACTCTTATCACCTTAATAATTGATTATGGCAAAAATAATGTGTCATACTCGCACATGCAGTTAAAGATGACACGGTATATAATTAAGTTTTAATTATTTTCTAATTGTACTCTAAGGATGTTTTCTTTTGGACTGTCCCAGCCCCAGACCAGATCAGACCAGACCAGACTTAAACAGGCCAGACCAGACCAAACCAGACCAGACCAGACCAGACCAGACCAGCAAATTTCAGTCCAAAAGAAAACATCCTAAGCAAAGCATCCGAAAATATACATTTAACTTAGGATGTTTTTACTTAGATTGTAATTTGTTGATCTGGTCTGGTCTAAACTGGTCTGGTCTGGTTTCTTTGTATTTTTATAACTATCCGAGTTTGGTCTGATCTGGTCAGGGACAAATTACCGTCCAAGTAAAAACATCTTTAGTTGGTTTATCATTAATCATTTGTAAAAAACATTAAGTATAAACTGTCATTATATTCCTGTGGTGTAATAGCTGCAGAGTTTGATAACTAAGAAATTACGGATTTAATTTAATAAATTGAAGAAAAAAGAAAGCTAAAAGTTCTAACTCAAAAGGAAAGAAAAATAATGGTCTAATATCCAATTATCTTTACTTTTATAAATATAACTTTAGGTAATATCGGCAGTGAACTAGATTTCTAAATAACAAATTGTTGATTTTGGATACATATTGTTGTTATCTAGGGTGTCTTTAATTGGATTGTTTTCAATCACAGACCAGACCAGATCAATTCAAACCAGAGCAGATTTGGATAAATTTAAAATACACCGAGACCATATCAGATCAGACTAGATCAACAAATTTCAGTTCAAATAAAAACATCCTTATCTACCTCCGTATATACACATATTAACCTGCATTGATTGTGCAAGTTTAATTATATATTTATATGGGGAGACATTATTTATTATTATATTTTTAAATCTCATTTTTAATTTTAACTATGAATTTCATACTAATCATATACGATTATACGAAGTATAATTCTCGTGCATCGCACGGGTACTAGTAAAAGTCACTTCTCCAAATCATTAAGGAAAAGAGAGACATGTTTCATTTTTTCTATTTTGGAAAACGATTTGGTAAACGCGTTTTTCTTTTTTCCTTTATCCAGTTTTCCAGGAATTTCTTTGGTAAACACGTTTCCTGTTTTCTGTTTTCCAGTTTTCCAGTTTTCTGGAAAACTGGAAAATATTTCTGTTAGTAAACAGGCCCTAATATTTTAACTATGAACACTTATTATTTTACTTATCACTTTGTACATTCAAATGTTATATCTCTTTTATAATATTTACATTTTTTCGTGTTTAACGATGTTTCGTGTTCAATGATAATGTTTACACTTTCAACTTTGTACTCCTTATTACTTATCACTTAATCCTGAGTTCAATTATTTTTACGTTTTCATAATTGACTTATTAATCACGCATTGGTAAATTTTCATTCGCGCATCGCACGGGTGAGATTCTACTTGTACCAAAAAGTAGACCATTTAATTTGATGTGGTCACGTAGTAACAGCAATAATTACGATTTACAATTTCAAAAGAAATTCTTTTTTGCGGCAGGCCTAAAGCAACCGCAGCAATATAACTGTGTTTTAAAAAAAAACTTTTTGCTGCGAGCCTAATTCTGCCACAGACACAGCATTTACGTTTACAAAGTTATTAAAAAAATATAATTTGTTGCGGTATGAAACATCCACATAAATTTTGATTTTATTTAATATATTCAAATATTAATTATTTGATAATATCTAGATCTAATCATATTTAACAAACCCTAGTATATCGAGGTCTTCACAGGTGAAAGAGAAAAAACGGGAATCTTTCATCACTAAATTTAAATCTACAATAATACTACCTACAAAAAATATGTAGCTCTTCATTGAGAAGAGCATAAATTTTTAATATTGTTTTCAATATATTATGGAGTATGTATGTTGATACTCCCACCACATGCATCCATGATCCATCTATCCGCCAATCTCTAAGTTCTTTTTTAAATACTAGATTTTTCACCCGTGCTTCGCACGGGATGCATTTTTTGTGTGTGAAAACACAGGATGCAGTTAATAAGCAATAATTTATTTATGAATATATAGAAATATTTTCTAAACCAAGAATAGTGCAATTGTGTAGGATTAATGAGACCCAAATAGTACCAAGGCTTATATCTCTATAATCATGTTAATTCATGTATTCTATTATCATGATCATTTTATTAGTTTTAGCAGAGTACACATGCAAGAAACTTGATACAACAAATGTAACCCTGAATATTATTTGTTAGAACGAATGAAAGTCAATACCATCTTGAGGATTTTAGTGAGGAGCACTCACTACTATGCATTGAGGCTCCTGATGTAAGCACCATATTGATATCCTTTCATAAACCAACAGCTGGTGTTTCATACGCAAGGGTTTACTGCAGGCAGAATGAAACAAAACATTACATGCCTTAAAAAACATAACAAATATACTCCTATCATTATAAGAAGGGAAAACTATCAAATGAGCCCCCCAACTATTAAAAAAAATCAATTAAGCCCCTGAACCCAAACTTCCCTCAATTAAGCCCTTAAACCCTTTTAAAAAAGCCAGATCCTCCTTTTACCCTGTAATCGACCGGTTAGCAATCTAGGTGATGATTTGGCATTTGACGTGGCAGATATTATACACATAAGCGCTGATTAAGCTAAAAACATTGCATCATACTCTACTTCCCCAAGTATAATGGTGATAATGTGTCTGGTTTTGGCATTTACATGGATCCACAAACTGGATTAACTGTCCTTAATGTATGCATTTTGCACCTTTCTTGATTATTGGTCATTTGTACTTGTTGATTGAGTAATGAACATGATCTTTTGTTTGTTATTGCAGCCTAGCCAGCGTGGAGAAATGGTGGTTTCTGAAGGGATAAATTGAAGAAGAGATCCAGAAGAAGAATGGACTATTTTTTGGGCACCGGCCAAGTTGACTGCCATGAATTTTATGGGGACTTGTCACGCTTAAATGTCAACAATTTTTGTGTATAAATATTACATTGGCCAGTGTATGATGCTTTATAAGGTTGTAATGTTTTTTTTTGTAAACTCTTGTGTAAACTATGCTTATAATGCTTTGTAAGGTTACAATGCTATTTTTGATGGCACATTGTGGCCAATATGTAAACTATGGTTTGGATGGCACATTCTGGCCAATATTTTGAATGTTAACAAATTTGGGCATAAATATAGGTGTGCTATCAAATTACCATGTGCATTACTTGGTTTAGGGCTGCATATAGGTTGGTTCAGGGGTGTATTTTCCTTGTTCCAGGCCTGCATAATGATTGCTTGAAGGCTGCATTTTGATTCGTTCAGGCCTGTATTTTGACTACTCTCAGCCCTGACATGTTAAGATATTTGGACATAAATAAATTTGGACATATTAAATTACCATGTGCATTACTTGTTCAGGAAACTCATGTGAGGGCTGTATTTTTGTTTAGGCCTGCATTTTGGTTGGGCAGGGGTTTATTTTGCTTGCTTCAGGCATGTATTTTGACTACTCTCTTTGAATGTTAACATATTTGGGCATCAATATAGGTGTGCTATCATTCTGAACCAATATTCAGGCCATATTATTTGGGCATAAATTGTTACTTGAACCTTGTAAGTTAGGCTGCCCAATATTATTCCAGAGGGCTGTTGGTTATTAATTTGGAAAATGGAGAGATAGATGAAGCAGGTGGATAGGTTATTTCAGAGGCAGTGGCATTTTTTTGTAGTTTCCCCACTTTTTTTGTCATTCTTTGTACTGTAAAAGTGCATATACATGTGATCATACCATAACAACATATGGAAACCAATCAGTGTTGTACTAAGAACAGAACTCAAAACTCTACGGCTCTGAAATTGCATCAAAATACTTCCAAATGCTATTAATGAAACCTGCTATTGCAGTGTCATCTTCCAACTGTAATACATATATGGAAGTGGTGAATCACTTTGGAAATAGTGGTTCTTGGCATCTCTTCTTTCACCTTAACTACTTACACTCACATAATTCCAATGAAATGGTTCCAAGAATCACAGTACACTAATCAGTGCACAACAACAAGAGGGAAAAACAGTGCATTGCTTTTAGGTCAGTTCAATCCAACACCGATATCAGTCAATACATTTTCATAAAATTACAAAATCAACTAATGCATTACAATATCAGCTTTGCACATACATGGCTTACTGAAATAAATCAACCCAAATAAACCTAGGCACAAACATAGACCAACTGTATAACAAAACACCCTAAAACTCCTTTTTCCCTTAGCCTCTGCTTCTAGGTGCACTCTAATAGAAGCAATGTGTCTCTCAACCAAGTACATGTCTTCTTCACCATTGGAATGATTCCTCCTCTGCACTTCATCATCTCTTCTACTCCAATTAGGCAAGTGACTATTAATGTCATTCCTTGAATTCACATCCTTCCAAGCAAAGAACCCACATCCCTTTCCCTCCTACAAAATAACACCAACAGAACTAG